CAGAATTATTGTAGAAATTCGTAAATATAGTATTATTACTTTTCTGCGTTTCTTTAACCACATGCTTCGCTCATTGGGTGTATTCGTGGATCCGAGAAATAATTGTTACTTTTCGACGGTTCGTATGTTATTGATGCCAGTTATATATGTGTATAGTTTTCTTCTGTTGCGGTTCGCTTCATGTCAAGCAGCCATCGCTTCGAGTAATATCTAATAGGCCAATCTCTGCGTATGAAGTACAATTACCCTTCGTATATATTTTGTGTGTTATTGATATCGTTCTTTTTGCTATAACGGTCGATCCGCACTATGCAATGATCCTTGTTAGACGTTTGCGTTCTAGAGTGTCCTTATCTCTGGGTTTCACCTTGTTTGATCGAGGGGCTCTCTAGTCATTATCTTGCACCCGAAGTAGGTCTGTGCTGTTGATAATATATATATCGAATTGAAGAAAAGCGTTTGCTTGTCACAATGACCACAACGATTCTCACTACTCATATGATGATAATGGTAAATTTCGCAACACAGACCTAGATGAGCTTTATATCCAAGTTTTTGTCATCTATCAAATTATGTATTTGTATGCGTAAATGGGCTGTTTGCACCAGCATAATTGTGCACGTAGATTGTATTCTCTGTGAACTTATGGCGTTACTGAAAACCAGAGCTGCTTCTGAAGGGCTTCCAGCTTTTAAAGTCGTTTTACTTCACTTCAATATTTTCCAGTCCTCTGCGCATTCGTGGCTGCGCATAACAGCTACTGTTAACACGGTCAACAAACTAAGCCTCTATATCAATCACTACGAAGAACCACTCTAGTTTACGAAAACAGCTTAGCGCAGTGTGTGGTAAAAATCCTTGGTTTATCGCCAAGGATTTTTGATAATAATTAGTGATATTAAGGAGAGATAAGGCTATAGCGGTCTTAAAACCTTGTAACCAACCAACCTTTCCACCTCGCAGAACAGCTGGACAACCTGAATTCTTGCAATGCAGATATTCACAACATCAAACGAGAATAACTAACGACAATTTATAATAATAGTAATACTGAAATCGGCTATGATATATATGTATATCGTAATGCCCAGAAATCTCCGGCAAACCTCTGGTACATCTAGCAGTGTAGGAGTATACACAAGAAGCAATAAGAAATGCATCGTCATATTTGAACTATGCCAGTAGAACGGTCAAAAAGCAGACAAGAAGACATTGATTTCAGCTGACTTTATCGATGTTGAATCCCCTTGCCTAATCTACCCGTTCAGCCTACGAAGTCCATCCCATTTACCTAGCACCCATAGCGCCTGAACGCGCCAGCTGATCGAACACTGGAAGCCTGCATGCTATCGCGGAATTGACCATCGATTCGATCGGCTTCTTTATGTTGAAAGACTGGCTCGCTGCCAGCCCGCTGATGTTGGCAAGCCCCGTTACACCGCCGCTAATCAAGGAATCCGCAAGATCATTCCCGAGGGACTCCAGAGGACTTGGCGGCGTCAAAGTGCGAAAAGCGCGGCGATGCTCGCTGAGATTGCCGTTCGACTGAGCAGACGCTACCGAGGGAAATTCGAAAATGGGTGCCGTCGATATCACGGCCGGGGCCGACATCAACTGGTCGCCGAAACTTGATGAGAAGCTCATGGGGACACCGCGGTGAATGGATCCACTTAGCATCGAATGCGATGTGTGATTGTGATGAGCGTGAGGCTGCGATTGATTAAGGAGCGTGTGCTGCGATGGATGTTGGCTCTGGGACTGCGGCAGATGCGACTGCTGCGACGTTCCAATGTTCCCATAGCCACTAGCGCTACTACTGGCGCTACCGCAAGACGACCCTAGCGACGGAGTCCCCGTGGAAATCGACATCGACGATGCTGGTGTTAGCAAACCGGAAACAGGGCACATCGTTTGGTTACCATGGGACGCACTAGCTGCTGCAGCCATCATAGCGGCCATATTACTGTTAATTGCGGTAGGTGCTGCCAACGGTGAAGTACTAAGACTTGGCGGAGAAGGGCTATGGTACATCATCGAGACGTCACCAGACGACACGCTTGGAGAAGCCGAGGACGACGAGGACGATGATGACGAGGATGAGGATGATGAAGCCATTGTGCAGAAGAAATTGCTACTCTGACGCGATGAGGCATTAAGGTACGACGGGGTGAATGGGTCATCGTACATTGAGGGACTGACAGGAGGCGACAGGTCACCGGCGGAACCCAAGCTCATGCAGCCGATGGACAGCGCTTTGGGACGGAGAGCATGCATGCGGCTTTTTATAATAGCCGAAGCAGGGATATGTTGCATGTGCGATAGGAGATCAGCGGCTTGTTGATGTTGTGAAGTTGGTCGCATACCCGCGGCTGCTGCCGCTGCTGGATGCTGGGCCCGCATCAAGTTCATCTGGGTGAAGACCTTGTGCTGATGTTGTTGTTGCTGTTGAATTTGCTGAACGCTTGAGGAACACTGCTGGCCAATGTGGTCAAATGTTCCACTCACGCCATGAGATGATTGTTGAGACTGTGGTTGGGTGTTAATTCCAAGCATCTTCATGTTGAGCGCCTCTTGCGAAGAGGCGGAGGATACACCACTGAGGGCGGCCGATCCGCTTCCTGCTGGTCGTTTTGCTTCATCGGAGTTGTGTATAAAGTGACAACGCGGTCCGTATGGACAGAGGCCTGTGGTGTGAAAAGTTCGGCACAGTTCGGTCTTGTATTTCGGATGACGAGTGAGACTACGTAGTTCATCCAGGCCATGGGCGAATTGGCACTTGTCACCGTACTTACATGTGCCATTCTCTTCAAATGGCCGACAAAGCTCGGTCTTATAACGGGACGAGTTGACGGACGAAAGAGCACTCTCGGTGTTCAAATCCTTGACGTCCGAATGGGGCTGTGGCTCACTTACGGAACGCTCCAACTTCCTGTATGTTGCAGACAGCACAAAGGACAAAAGCAGACGAACACAACAATAACAACAACAATGCGAACAAAAAAGCACACGAATAAAAACATCACATTAAATTCGTTGGTTGAGCAACAGCTTGACTACAAATTTGCTCGAAAAAACCATTTGCACCGTTTTAGTCTCTGCACGTGATTATTTATATAAACATAGTTGTTCCCGAAGCAAAAGTCCCAAACGCAATATTTGACCAAAGTCGTATATCTGATAGAATGACGCTAAAAGAATATTTGCAACTTCCTACATGTTAACACCCACCTATGCTGTGCCTGCTGTTGTTGTATTTGGTTCAGCTGAACTAGCTTTTGCTTGATGGTTTGCAACTGCTCAATGCTGGTGCCAGCCGGTAGAAGGGCAGCCAGACCTTGCAGATCCAGTTGAGCGAGGTTTCCAACAGATTGTTGCAGGGCTACAACCCTCTGTTGAAGCTGGGAGGCAGAGATCTGTTGCTGTTGTTGTTGTTGTTGTTGTTGTTGTTGTTGATTCTGCTGTTGATGGAACTCCGCCGCCTGTTGTTCTGGTTCAGACGAGGCCTGTGGCTGAGTTTGCGCTGGGGCCTGCTGCGAGGACGAGCTGGAGGATATTAACGACTCCTGCTGTTGTGATACGCTAACACCGGTGGTCGAGGTACTGGCTGAACCGCACATAACGGCAGTCATTCTGATTAGGTATTTTTGACAGCTCCTAAAAAAAGAATATCATTATCATTTCTATTAGTTATGTGGTTGAATTACATTTATACAAACTCGAATAGCGTTACCGTTGCCGTTTGTCTATTTTTTACTCATCGGTAGAGGCGAAATTGGGCAATATTAGTAGTAGGATGAACTATAGAAACATCGTCGATATGTCCTTGCCTCCAGCAGGAACTTTATAACTTTTACATGATAAACTTTTACATCGTTTCGATTATAAGATTACACATTTACAACATGTCTCACTTTTTAGCTATTACCTTTAAATTTACGCACAAAGTAGGGAATCAGTGGGTACACGATGTGTTATGAAAAGCTCTTCACTTTATAAGGTTCGCTTCTAATCGGTTCTGTAGAGCATTTTTTCATTGGCTAATAGTTAAGGTAAACAAGTAAATTACCATTATGAATGGTGCGTGCTTCTAATGGATATGAACGCCTTACCATTTACTGACTTTGCCTTTCCTATGTGTTGCTATATGCTAGCCTTTTCTATCATACGTGAGAAGGCCTGTCTGTATGGTATACCCAACTGGCTAGCGCAAAAATCCCACCAATTGAACAGAACAAAGGAGACCCGCTGTTCCGTTGTAAGACTAGATACTAACTTCCTATTTTGAAAGCAGACGGCTCGTAAGACTCATATTCCCGAAGCTTCTCTCATCTCGCATGTCATTTTCTTCGGTTGAATAATATTCAAGAAACGCACGAAGAGGACTGAACCTTTTTTCGGCAGCTTGGAGAACGTCGCACCCTGTTCGGTAACCGATGGGCGACCACAACAAAAGAAGGCTATACACGAGAAAAGCTGCTGCCCCTCCACGATCCCTGCCCACCTAAATCCGACCTATCGAGTGGATATAGGTGGTGCTATTCTATCTGTGTATTATGTCTCTATGAGTGGATCTGCGTACAAGACAAAACCGTCCCTCTATTATAGACGATGTAATCACACGGCGCATTGTCTCTGAAGAAGTCCGCGTCGTCACAAAGATGTATCTATAGTCTATATATTTATTCCCCAACGTATCCGACTAAATCGGCTAAACTGCCGAAGTGCGTGGTTTGACTCAAGGTGCGAACCTTCGCTATAAGCAGCTTTCAAATGATGAGCAGTAACATCGACTGCAGAAGCAGATATAATAACCTGAGTACACGTATCCTATCAGGATTGCCGCAGTAGGAGGTAACCGCCTAGAAAATAATCATATTACAGGTATTGGTATTACCTTTGAAAGATTTTTTGAGTTTCGTCTGTTCATTTTAACTGTAAATTTGATTGTTTTCCAGTACCCTCATTATATATCGACATATTCGCTGCTACACTCAACTCAGCAGTGGTTTACAACAGATATGGAAGCTGGCTACACTAGAAGCCGTTTGCAACACTATTGGTTATTATTGTATGTTTGCGCATTTCGCCCACATATATGTATAATGGTATACATCACAAAAATCGTACATAAAATACGCAGGCTGCAGCGCCTAAACTCCGCTACTAGACCAACTGGCACCACTAAGCGTTAGATGTGTATATATAATACAATTGACTAACATTTAACTAATGCGGCCCAATAATGTTCGATCGGTTTCTAGCGCAGACAGCAGCAGTGATAAGCATCCAGCCAAAGAAAGCGGTTAAGAACGAGCTTTTCTAAGTAATTCGTCTGCTTCCTGCCCGCCAATGACTTGATGTTTGTCTGTTAACAACTTATGCCTAAGAACCCCCGGGACGCGAACTCAAAGTGAATACCATCTGAATTGAATGTGACTGCATTCAACATGCGTTTAGCTGCAGAAGCGAATGCTACGAGGCAGGTAGGCAATCGCTAAGAAAAATCCCGCAATGGACGAGGCGAAAGGAATCATCAAAGACGTGAAGAACGAGCCTTGACCTGCCGTTAGAATCAACCGTCATCAACGAGGCCTGTATTCTGTGCATGTTTACCGGCCCCGCAACGCAGTCTGGCTACGAGGCGGTCCACAAGAAGTTGTTAGAGATGGACGCCTAGTGAAGACCTATGAAGACTAAGCGAAGTATCAACAACCGAACCCTTTACAAAACATGAAAGATGGTCGAAAGCGAAAAAGACAAAAAGTTAAATTTAACAAAATAAGCCTCTATATATATATATATATATATATATATATATATATATATATATATATATAGGTATAGTGGCTTAGAAAAACAGAGAAACAATCGGTCGATAAAAAGATTCGTTGGTACGCAGAGGTACTGCCAGAGGTTTCGATTTTTCTTGAAGAAGCAACGAGACGAATGAACAGAACAGCCAGCATAACTTGAGACTCAATTTTTTTTGAATAAGCTTTCATAAAGATTCGATAAACTACCGTCGCGCGATGTCTATCACCGACAAGCCAATGGCTGTTGCTGACGCTACTACTACGATATCGTAAGGTGCTTTCACTGGGGCACTAATGCAGCGCAGTAACTCATCGGGCTTCATTGCATCACAAAGCTTAGGAAGAGTGCGGTGGATATAAAAATGCATACACATATGCATGCAAAGTGTCGACGAAATTTCAGCGATTATTTGTTATAGGCGTAGAGGGCTGAGGTGATAGGCGTTGAAGAATCAGTGCTGAAGGTGCCCCAAAGCCAAATTTTAAAATACACTGAAATTACGTTTATACTGGTATAGTAGAATCCCTCTAGCTTTCGCCGAAGTCATTTGAAACGAGATACAGATTTAGGCTGAAATAAATTTATTCTTGCCGGCCATATACAGATGTTTTGACTATCAGTAAATTCAGTCTTTTGATTGAATTGAAAATCAATTGTGCGTGTACAACTCTGTAAAACTAATAACTGTTGCACGAATCTGTGTACTACTATAGGACTCTAGTATACTTATCCAACTCATCAACGCACATGGGAGTTTTTCTGGCTCTGCTTATAAGCACTATTCACTTACCAAACCTATGATCGTTCCATCCTCAAAGATTTTTTTACCCACTCACGGACTTATATTTAGTTTCCATTTTCAAGTAGTTCTGCAAAAGTCATAACCAGCGCTATTCCGATTACGCCAGTTCCAAGCGTAGCGCTGCAATATATTGTAGCTTATGGACCTTGTCAACCCTAGTCACCCATGCTAAATTCACAGTAGCACATATTAATTTATATCGGCCCGCTGTGTCTTAAAATCCAAAGAAATTCGAGCTCATGGGAGTAAACTTAGCCCCCATTATAACAATGCTGTTAGTGACCATTTTGCTACCGTGCAGGTCTGAACTGGGGGGGGGGGGGAAGGGGGGGGCGGAAGACCTACAGCGTTAGGCAAGGCAGTCCCAGTAGGCGCGCCAAAGCGACCAGCCCAGAAAGGCGCTTTTGCTGCTGCCGCATCAGATGCACATGACTGTGATACCTGGTTCTACAGCCGCCGCCGCAGGTGTCTGCATGGTGGCTGCTACGACTGTGACGACTGCCGCCTAATGGAATATGAGGAAATGGAGCGCGGTAGCGCTTGGGCAGAGGATGGAGGAAGGAGAAAGCTTGGGAACCAAATGATGAACAGATCACAGGCCGGAGAAGGCAGACAGGCACATCAGACTCTTTTTCTTTCTCTGTTGTCTGCACTATGGTACAGTAGGTAAGTGTGCTAGCAGTATATGTATGTCTATGTGTCCACCGCCGTCTCGATCAGACCGAAGAAGGCTGCTCGACCAGTATACGATGATTACAGGGATATAGATATACTCCAGCTTCGTCTGCAGACAAACTATAGAGCGAAGAGGAAAACTATGGTCTACGGCAAATAACTAAGAAGAGCGGCTGGCTCGGAGCGCTGACTCTTCTATAGATCGTCACTAGCAGCTGTCGTTTGCGCTCGTTGTTGCTGTTCTTGTCGTTGTCGTTGCTGTCGGTCGAGCGGGTAGCAAGGCCGGCCGAGTAAAACGGTGATGGCTGGCTGGCTTGCTTGATTGCTCAGTCACAAGCAGCGTCACCGCCAGGAGCTTATGAATACGAACCTCCAATAAGCGCTCACGGACGCAGACAGGGACGATCTCACGGAGCCCCTTCCCTCCGCCAACCTGGGCGAGTAAGTGCCAAAAACGATAAAAGCTACTGCCGATGCTCCCTGACGCTGCTCCAGTGGTGCTCAGTATTGTTTCATGCGGTCGTGGGATGCCGATGAATCGGTCACTGCCGCCGCTGCTGCCACTAAGAGTCTGCGAATCGCGAAAATGACGAAGACTGCAACAACAACATCAGCGTCAACAACAACCACCGCTGACCTACTTGCTTGGGTGAGCACGGCCGGCAGGTTGACAGGTTGCGACCTTTTATCTCAACCATACCGGCCTTAAAACAGGCCTACCTGTCAGTATGGTAAGGAAGAATCAGACAATGAGGAGAAATGCCGAAAAACAAGTGCTTTCGTATGTGCACAGTATGCAGTGATGGATACGAACGTAGTAGTGAATATAAAACAAAACGGAAATGTCTTCCGCATTTGTCTTAGGTAGTAGCTTCTAATGGTGAAATTGTAAAAATATGTCTTGAGAGCAGCCCGGCTTAAGCTCTACAGGAACTATTGTTTGAGAGAAAACAACAACAACAACAATATATATGGCAGTTATCACCAGCCACCAACGGTAAATGAGCAACGTAGGAACACTCGAATGTTCAGTTGGCTTTCCCGTATTAATTTTGAACTTCGCCGCTGCCAGATCATTGCCTAATAAATGCGTTCTAGCCGAATATGCTCTGCGAGGATGGCCACAGGCTCTCAAGGCGAAGGGGTTCACCACATATTTCTGAGTGCGCCCCCTACAGTTGAGGAATCAGCAGTTATTAAGAAATAGTAATTGTACAATACATATAGCAGGGGCCGTTGGAAGCATGAATGCGATGTTGCCACTGGATGGATAAGTGAGTATTGCTTCTGACTATGGAACAATTCAAGCAAACCACAGAAGCTAAGGACGCAATATGACTGTTTAGAAGAGCGCGTGCTTAAGACAACTATGGCAAGCATCGACTAATGAGCAAATAGACTAAGGTTTAGTAGCGTATGCGTGTCAAGGGAAAAGAGATCAATAAATATTATTCGTCGACGTGGTGGTATATATATATATATATATATATATATATATATATAAAACAAAGTATATTTAGCGATGGAGGGACTTATTATTACTCCTGTTAGTTTTGGCTCGTATATCTACGTCGGGACATGAGAAAATTCTGGGCAAACAATGTTCCATTAGCGAAGGGCGAGCACACTCTCCCAATGTCTCATTAGCTAGCTGTTCATCTCGATCGGATACATATACATACACACAGCCGTGCTACCGAAATCGAGCCTGGTTAATTTCGAAACCACCAAATTGGCCGAACCTTCTGTTCGAATGAAGGTTATATTAAGTATACGCAATTACTAGTCACGGTCCTTTTCTAATTTCAAACATAATTACCTTCTAAAACTTCAATTAGTGTAAATCAATGCCGATCCGATGACAGAATAGAATGATTATACATTCCTTCGATAACACACTAGCTCTTACCAAACAATTAAGATGATACTTGATCAGTCTTCTTTCATTAGTGTTCATATCATTTGCACAGGGCCGGAAGTCCCAAAAAAATGAAATGCTTTTTCCGCGACAAAAAAAATATCCCTGTTTTTTGACATTATCATTCCCGCTTGCATTGCTACGAGCTGGCTACATGCATGCGGTTCTCTGAATCGGCCCATAATATTGAAACGAAACCCTAAGATCATTATGCGTCAGTCATAAGCTGAACGACAGCTCGCAAACAACAACAGCAACGGATTCTAGCGGTTTTCTCGTGGCCGATCAACTGGGCTGGCCATCCAACCGGCGGGTCAAAAGCCTCGCCAACGGGTTTTTTTTTTTTACAAAACAGCAACACAGAGGCCACATTTCCAGTTACTATCGATTCAACCATTTGCTTCTTGATCAGTGATTGTATATATATATATATATATATATATACATATATTGCTTCCGATAAGGGTTTACAAAACAAAGATGTACATGTTACCAATAGAAATACAATTACAGTTAAAACTTAGGATTTGATTGCTACATTAGAGTCATTAAATCGAGTTACGCACAAGATAGCCTTATAGAACCAGTGTACAAGAATCACATAAGAAGTTAAATTTTGCTGATTCTTAAGTTTTCATTTATGCACCCTAATGTCACTTCCTTTCAGATGGATTAAAGCTATGCTTGCTGTCGACGAGAAAAAACACTGTATCCCGCCCAACTGCATATTCCACCCATGTCATGTATGCCCACTCACCGTTGGTCTTGTCTCCTCTATAGTTTCGTCGTTGTTAAAACGACTCGGTCTTATGTCGCTCTTCCCGAAGAGGAACTTATTTCCTTTAGGTCACACAAGGTAATAGTCCAGTGAAGTTCAATCAGATGTGTGCATGTGAGCTTAATGGAAAATCACAGACGTTTCATCACAAATAAAAGATCGCGGCAGCAAAAATTGATGCCAGCAGCGGTAGCATCGGCGCAGGTTAACAGGTTGCCAAAAAATGAACTTTCGTGCCACGTTTTTTTTTCGTTTACCGCCGTTCCTCGAGTAGAAACAGTCCGATCTTACAAAACGGGTTGTAATACTTTTCGGCCAACAATGCAGAGACTTTCTTCCCGAACGGAGTTTAATTTGTAGAATGGAATGGGAGCTGCTTTTTGTTTATTGATGGATTCGCGCCCGTTCACCATCGATAGGCCACCACGGACTGGCGTTGACGTCCCAAAAGACTTAATGATTCATTACCGAATGAATTGCGTCCGTTCAAGTATCAATGCGAACTCAGCGCATTTGCTTAGCGTTCACTGGGCGTCAATCCACTTCCGCTCGGAGAAAGACAGAAACAATCAGCCGCGAGTGGCGCGCTTATAAGCACACACTGCTCGCTGCTATCTGCTCAGCTCGCGACCTGGTGTTTCGTGCTACAGCAACGGCAACAACGAACTTCGACAATCAAGCACGCTGGATCGACTGAGCGCCGTTCTCGTTCGGCTTTCGATCTGTCTCTCCGTCGTCTGCTTTCGTCGGCTTCGCTGCCGCCCGGCGTTTGCTGTGAGTCGTAACTGGGACGTTTACGCGACGTGAACGCTGAGTATCATACTTGTACACACATGCGGACGTGTATTTATATTAGAGAGAAGCCCTTCGCTGGATGATATCTACAATCGTATAAGTGTAATGGAAGAACGTGCACGGCGATTCTTACGGGAAGAGAGGGACACACTCAGCTACTGCTTCACGCAAAGTAATGCGATTTGACTGAATCGCAACTGACGAGCAATTGCGAGGTGCATAGAGGAAGCTGCTATAGTGGTGATTTGGTCTGAGCGGGCAGCGGTCTCATTGAGGCACAATCACATAATTCAAACAAATATATATAAATATCCAGTAAAACACAGGTAAAGAGAGAACGTCGTCGAAGAGCACTTGTTCAACGTTGAAGCTGTAAGGGGCAGGAGGACTGATTCTGAAAATTCTGACCGCGAGCCACAATTTTGTCGGACACTAGCCAATGTATGGTGGCAAAGGGATACCAGGATCTACTTCGATGCTGGGATGCAACCCGGTCCAGGTCGCCTGTTGTATCTGACTCTTTCGCACGATGATTATATACAGGGAGCACGGGTTGATGGCGACTGTCAGTCAAAATGCTGTGACAAAACCAATAACGACAACGGCTACGTTAACAACTACAAAGTTCCGTGAGGTAACCTCGCGCGACAATCTATCTTTCCACAGGGCGCAACAGGTAGAGCTCAGTCACTACTCCTACTCCGACTGTTCTGGTAACTCTGATCGACCAACGCGGCTCGATACGCTCTGCCCCAATGGCGGGCACCAACTGATCGAGGAGCAGCAGAAGTTCAGACTGCTCGTTCTGGAGCTCGCGGCTGCCGCCGGTACCGTCGCTGTTGTCGCTGTTGAGTGCCTACTTCTGGTAGCGCTAGAACGATGGCTGCTACTTGGCTTAGTCAGGCACACACTCAATGTGTTATGCCTAGACCCATTCACTCTGCCGGGCCGCGACCAGCGGATCCACATGAGGGGTTCGTATCAGGGAGGTGAGCGAGTGGAAACTAAGCGAATCCGAAGGGGGAGAGAGAGTATCGAACCACTTGTAAAGTGGATCAGAGCGGCTGTCCGATCGCCAGCCTGTTGCTCTCAGGCAGCCGTGGCAGCAGCGAAAAGACGCGGTTGAGCTGAGCAGACAGCCGACTAACCAACTATCCTCTACCAAGCACTAGTCGACGAGAAACAAGCGGCTCGACTACGGCAGAGCTGTAGGGCAGGGCAGGGCAGGGCAGGGAGGTAGCTAACTTGCTGCGGTCCGCTGGGGGTAGGTTACCAGCAACGGCAAAATCTGGCCACAGCTAGACCTGCATGGAAGCACGCTCAAGTCTGTTTAATGAAACTGTTATCTGTGGTAAGAAATCTGTGTGGTACTAGATTTACTAGCTTTGTTTACGTCCCGTAAATCGGTGTATATGTGCGTATAGAAATGTTGATTAATGGCAAGCACTCGTCAAAATTGCTGCCGTTGTCAAAGGCGCCCGCGTTCAACAGGCCGTTGCTGGGACCGTAGCGTTCGTAAGTACCGTTCGCCGCGCGTAGTTTCGAGTTCTGCGGTCTTGCTCCGAAACTCACGCCTCTCCAGACTCCTGACTCCTTCCCAGCGCCGGTTTGCCTTCTAGCGACGGCAGGAGCAATGTCAGGAACATCAACATCGACGTTTTAATGCACATAAAATAACGTGAAATCGTGGCGCACTTGGCTATGAATGTACTGCTGTGATTTACAGACCAGCGAATGTTCTGACTTTAACAGCAAAAAATATGCCTGAAGACATTATGCATTGATACAAAGACGGCAGGGTAGCTACGAAATATGGAGAGCACTCAAAATATAGAGAAACCTAATTCAAATATGTTCGCACCGCTGCTAGGTAGATTTTACATAGTACCTAAGAGCATAAAATATAAGCTTGAGATGTGCATCTATATTACAACCTAATTATTATTACGAACAAATCCGGCGGACCTTAAAGGCGATAAATTTTGAATTAGTTGAACCATAATGATGATTTTTAAGGATACTCTCGTTTATTGTGAACACATTTATCCGAACCCTGGCAACCATTCGCGTTCATATATATATAATTTCTCTATCTATAACGTTTCAAAATAAATCGATGGTAGGATAATCAGATAGCTTTTTTTAAGACAATTTCCAGAACGTTGTAGCTGGCCTTCGAAAAATAAAGACTTAACCATGTTAAAGATGTTTTTACTTCTCCTATAGTAAACTCTAAACTAAGTTTCTAAAGAACTGGAGTATTTATTAGCCAAACTTGCGTCTGTTAGCGGCGCATCGTTCAAAACTTATTCAGTTTCAAAGTCGGCCGAATTCGCTTATAACAGCTTAATATATAGATATATAACATTAAAAGGGTGTTACTAAGTGTTGTAGAGTTTGCTGAATCTAGATGAGCCATATATATATATATATATATATATATATATTATAACACGCTAGCGTACGTACAGAATCGTGTTCTACCATAGGTAAAAGGAGATGAATGCACATTCTATTAGTGTTGACTAAAAATATATAAAACAAAGACTTAAAGAAACAGGGAAAGTGTCGGCCATTGTTGTTGAGCTGGAGGAAGAAAGAAATATGATATAACGAAAATTTCTATGGTCTGATTATGACACAGGGTAATGGACATTGAATTAAGCGGCTTACCCACGATCACGGAAAAAAAAAAAAAGGTTTATTACTTATCTGTAGAGACGGGAACTTTTTGGAGCGAAAATGCCGTAATGGATTAAACTAACCGGAATATATCAACGCTGCACCAAGCTGTTTACACCGGTAAAAAACACAGTGAATATATATATATATTAAGCAATTAGGTAGGGAAATATTGTTGCCTATTACTTCGCATTCAAGACTTATTTGAGCATCCTTTTCATTTGATTTCGCTTATTAAACTTATCGCAACCAACAACGGTGACTATGGACTCTTGCTCTGTTTGATCGAAATCAGTATCAGAAATAATCGCACATGTACGGTATTCCCCACAGGATGGAGTCCATACGGTTTAAACATACAACATGCCAAAACCAAATTGAATAACTCGGTAAGCAGTTGCTGAGGGCTATTGCTTTTGTTGTTGATGTCGCCACTGCTGCTGCTGCTGCTCCTGTGGCCCGAATCACCGTTTGTTCGCTGTTAGCCGTGGGCGGCTGGATGCACTCACGACCCACAATCCACGGCTGGTCAGGACCCACAACCTCATTTCTCTCATCCCGCCTATCCCAGCTGAAAACCATGAATGCACACAATTTACTCCGCTACAGAATCTCTAAAAGACGAAGATCTTCAGGAGCAAGAAGGCGCCATCGGTAGAAATACGACCTGCGACGCCTTGCCCGTCCCAACCCCACCGACTCGTAGCAATGGTCCATAGCCATGTACACAATGCAGATTCATGGGCGAACCAACGAGTGAAATATCCAGCAAGCTCTCAAATACGCTTAGACACACACACACACACATAAGCAAACAGACATACGGCTCCGCAACGGGCACATGCCATTCATATCGAGCTATATGCAGTCGCACGCAAATGCAACTGTAAGCTGCCATCCGTTGATATCCACAAAGATCCTTGTATTTATATATATATATATCTCGAGTCTTGGTGGTGGTAGCGGACTCAACAAGCCTCCCGAGGCGACCTGCTGCCTCCTTCAAGATCCTAGATCATCACAGTCCGTAGACCTCGTCCCTGTTTTCGTTCGAATCCCCAGGCCAGGTTAGATCCGCGCGGTAAAAATGGCCGAAGAAGCGAACAAAGGAATGGATAAGAAGGACACGTAGTGAGTAATAGTATTCAGAAGAAGGCGAACAAAAAACGAAACGATGATGAATAAAGGCTTGTGGCAGAACTTTGGAGGACGAGCAGGGGACTTGACGCATGCAAAATAGTGTGAGAAGACCGAACCCAGAACAAGCCGTCTATTGGTTGAGTTAGCACGAAGCAAGCTGTGGGTAGATGGATTGGAGTAGTGGGCCTGTTAGTCGACTGGGAAGACAGCTCCAATACGACGAAGAAAAACGGTTCGGGCCTAGCTGCAGCCTATAGCTTCGGTTGGGCCAGAGCCCGTCGAGCACCGATGATGGAATCCCTCAACAAACGGGGGAGGGTACGGGATGGGCGGCGGAGGGGCAGACGTTGACTAGAAAACGCGAAGGGATGGACAATATCTTTAGGATCTTCTATACACCGTGACTATATGCATTTGATTGTGTGCCATATACTTTCGAGCGCATAGTACGGGATCGGTGGGAGGCTGAGTGTAGAAAGGGCGAGAATCGCGTGGGGGTTGTACACTCAAGGTTCGACGCAGCTGGATCCCGGGGCAACACATTTCATGCAGCTCGGAGTTAGAACGGTTGTAGTAGTTCTACAAGCTTTGCTATAGAGCTGTAACGTGGCGGCCTCTGTACGATGCAAAGAAAAACGGTGGCTACGGATGACTGCGTACTATCCAACCCACATTCCGTATGTCGTATCCTGCCTGGCGTTGGTACTTATACATAACTAAACCTGCGCAACGTAACTATCCAAAGTGGACAATAAGTTGCGTTGTGGCACTAGTTAGATCGAAAATATAAAATAGAGCCGAATAAATGTTTCGAGTTTCAAGTGTGGTACCTTATTGTTATGCATTGCTTCAGACGGCTCATTTTCCCAGTACGAAACGAAGTGTGTCCGAGACACTCGAGATCGTTCCATTTTTCTTTAAGTCTAATGGACGTACGTAGATCAAGAGATAAGCATGGCGACCTCCAACTGAATAGACGACAAATCGATTACTTACTGCAACTACAAGTGTTTCGACAAAGGTCCAATACGAGAGCTAGGTGACAGTACCCGGTGCCGACAGGGAAGCTGATAACAAAACTAGAAGGGTTTAAAAGTCTTTAAGGGCCAAAAGACGAAAACATCGGTGGAAATCTATAAAGATGGACATCTAGATTCCGTGCGCCTTCAGAAAAAAGACCGAAAAATGATCTGACCTATGTCTAAAACAAAACTCAAGAACGAAAGGTGGAAAAATGTATGTACATACACGATAAAAGGGAGGGTTGAACAAAGACATTGATACGGTAATAACGCACGTATATCAATAACCCTCATATTCATGAGCGATCTACAAAATCGTGCATCATATTGCCATGAAATCACGTTGTGCTGATAGTACTGAATTGCACATATGAACACATTTGTCTTTTGGTGATGCCTTTGTACGAATAGGTTTGCCTACCCCCCCCCCCCCCACCCATTAGCCATGCCATGCCAGGCAACGACACCCGTCGCTTTACTAGCAACCCGAATTTGAGTCCATGTTCTGAGGAAGCCAGATGTTCAGGTGCGATGAGAGCTTCTTGTTTCAACCGGACGATAGGAAAGCATTATATGTATATATAGAGAGAGAGAAACATTTTTAACATAGGAGTAATGTCGGCGGGTGCGGGTGCTAAATTTTTTTCGTGCCACCCCCGACCACTGGCCACCAGGCCGTATCGTTCTCTTTGACTGTTTTCTTGGACTAGTTGTTTAGATGACGGGTGAATGAGGTTCTGATGACGAGTGAGGTGGGTCTAGTCGCGTTTTTATAAAGTGGCGCAGCATTTTGTCTAACTCTGAGTCAGAAGACAGGTTTGCAGGAAAACCCGCAGCAATGAGGGGCTCAATTGCAGACAGAAAAATTGCATCATTTTCCCTTTCCTGTTTTTCGGAGCGTCTGAGCTTTCGCCAGATGGATACATAAGGCCGCAACGTACATTAATGTGCAGAGGATGTGCATACATTGGTGTGTAATCGTGATAGTCACACACTGAGACACGGGTCGAGCTAACGATGGCAGGTACGAACCGAGACTCAATCGAGAGCAAACTCAGCTCTTGCAGCTCGCAAAGGACTAAACCACCCTAAACAAAATGTTAGAGACACGACAGCGTTAGCAGTATGGGTTTCGGCCAATGACTAAATATGGCGTGGTTATACAAGGCGAAAATTCTTGTTGGCGGGGAGTAACGTTAGGAGTGAAAGACGTTTTTAAGCAAGATACAGATCTGTACGTAACACGTGCCCACGAGCGATAAGATTCCACACAGTGC